TGTGAGACAGTGGTGGCAGCTGCTTAAGTAGGATTGTGAAGCGAGTTCAAGTAGTTTGCTATTGGTGTGTTGCAATTGCCCGAGGGGATGTCGCCTGCAAAGGCCCCCTGTCGCGTTGACCAATGAGGTGGCCTGGTAAGTGGTCCTTAAGAAGACGTGCTCATTTGGACCCGCGTGTATGCGCGGGTGTATGCGCACGTATGTGTGTGCGTAAATGAGCTGAGGTCAACTGTGGGGGCCGCCGGAAAGCCGAAGGAAAGGGGACGCTAGCGGAGCTGTTATCGGTTACCCAGAATCCACTACGAGGTCAGGCCTCGGGGGGGACGCCAGTGAAAGAAAGCATTGGGACAGTTGTTTGTGATGACGCATGATTTTGGGGCAGCGGGCCTTGGAGAACGAAGGGGGAACAGGCACTTTGGCCGTCCGTCACAGGACCTCCCTGATATTGACACCAAATAGTTGAGTCTCCGAGGGACCTGTGGCCGTACACACAAAGCAAGATGTGTGGTTAAACAGGACTCCGCTCATGCTGCATACGGTACGTGCTCATAGAAGCTTGGGGAAGGAGACTGTAGCCTCTACCAGAAAGCCGCATACAACAATCTGAAAAAACAGCAAGCTGGCGAGCGCAATGTAACGCGGTTTTTTGCGGATCAACACGCGAAATTGAGTCAAGCGAATATGGGTCCCCAGATGTCACATTCAATCACGACAGTTGAGAAGTAGAAGACGACTCGATCGCTGGGGGGAATGTTTTTTCGCCTGACATTTCGAAATCCGTCGTGGATTCATCTTCAGAGAATCAGAATCAGGACACACTCAGGGCATTTATCGATTTTTTCTGCACGTTTAAATCTTTACGGCGGAACCCTGTGCACACACAAACTGTTTCTGCTACTGTTCTGTGAGTATGTCTCTGAAGATGAACCCGCGACGGATTTCGAAACGTCAGGCGAATAAACATAGTGTCCCAGCGATCGAGTTGTCTTCTACTTCTCAATTACTTCCTGGGACTCGCATGTTCGCTTGTATTAGCAATCACGACATTCTTCTGGCGTCCGATCGCAGAGCGAGCGCCAACGTTGTTCGGTGTCCCCATGACAGTATTGAAACGGTCTACTAAGTGGCCAATCTGGCCGGCGCATTCCAATGTCTGTTTGAGTAAATACAGTATGACGAGTGCGGCAAGCAAAATGCCGCACTTTGCGAAAGACCAGCCATCACCTGTAAACCAACACTGAGTAGGGTTGCAATACTGATTATTGTGCAGGCGTATCTCAAGTCTTTTCAGTCGCGTCAAGATGTCGGCTCTTTAATGAGCTCCTCTCTGATCGGTTATAAAATGCAGATTTCGTAAAAATGGCTACTTAAATAGTATGCATTTTTACCATGAATTTTGACTGCCTTTATAAATTCAAAGATATTTTATAGAAAACATGCACGAAAAACTTCTTTCTTGTATTCGTTTAGTAGGAAATTACGCCTTCTTCAGATTTTATACTTGAAGGAAGGGTATCTTTCGGTTTTCAAAATGTTTCTAAATTGCCGAATAATTTTGAAATTTACCGACTGCTACACCGGAATTCAATGTTTCCAAACAGCATGCTGTGTACATCCTGTTCAAGGAAAAAACGTTTTTGCCTACGGTTTGACGAAGAGGTCGCACAGTTCTCATAAAATTTTGCCATAAATGTGGATTATGCCGTATAAATTATAGGCAGCATCAATAAATTGGCGGACCCAATGTATTAAGAATGAACGCCTCACAACCGTAAAAAATCTCATAATTAGAAATTTTTCTAAAAGCGAAGGATGGCCTTTCTTTGAATATAAAATTTAAAGACGTAATTTCCTAATAAACGGGTACAATAAAGAATTTTCGTGCATCTTTTCTATAAAATATATTTGAATTTATAAACGCAGTTAAAATCCGTGGTAAAAATGCCTACTTCTTACAGTTTTTGCAGAATCTAATCTTTGTACGCGGTCAAAAAGAAGCTGATTAAAAAGCCGGCATCCTGGCTTGACTGAAAAGAATTGAGACTAGACTGCACGATAATCAGTATTGCAGCCCTATTTAATGTTGGTTTGCGAGTGATTACCAGTGTTTCGCAAATTGCGGCATTTTGCTTGCAGCACTCGCCATACCGTACACGACTGAGCCCGGCAGGACGTGACTGCTGGAACCTTGGTTCTACGATCCCCATCCATGCGTCAAATGCGCACTGAGGCCGAAATTCTCGCGAGATGTGACAATCGTGTAAGTCGCGGGTTACGTGAGCCATGGTTCACGGGTCCCCCGGTCAAAAACGAGTTCAGCGACCTGCCCAATCCATATTCGGTGATGAGGCTCAATTTGGCCATCAAAAATCGCCGCCATGAACGCACAGGCCAGCACGTCGTCCGGTGCCAGCGATGGGGAACCAGATGGCCGAGTAAGTATCAGGTCCAATTCTATCATGTGTGATGAAAGTTGAGCAGGCCATCAAGCAGTAAGCGGACAAGCAGCCAATTATCCGCGATAGGGGGGAACCGTTAATTGTCATAAGTATGCAGTAGCACAGTGACTGTATCCTCTAAATACTGCAACTCCCTCTTTATTAATTGCCCGTTTCTGCTGTTGTTTCTGATGATGGATCCGCGACGGATTTCGAAACGTCAGGCGAATAAAACCCCTGTCCCAACGATCCCATCTGCCTCTTCTTCTCAACTCACCTTACTACCAGTTACCAGGCACATCATGACGAGAGTGAATCCGACTACTGCCCCCTCCCACATCCCCGAGAAAAAGACCACCACGTAATTGAAATTGTATACTAAACAGACTGAACAGTGGGCGGACAAAAAAGAACGACGAACAGTAGGGTGATAGTCGTCCCGCAATAGGGGGGAGGTGAGTGTGACCAGACAGGCAGGAAACACATAGCCCACTGCCGCCGAAGCCGTTGTGGGCTGAGAGATCTGGCCATGGCACCGAAGGCTCAACACTTGCGCACCACTGTGCTCGTGCGTGCGTGCGAGGGTGGGTGAGTGTAGGATTTATAGCCTAGAAATGCTGCGGCCGTTTTGGAACAAACACGAGAGAATAAGAAGGATAAAAAGTAACGGGGGATTGGTGTCGGCGAAAAGCAGGAGGGAGAGGGGGCGTTGAGAAGACTAGGCTGGGGCAACATCTGGCCCCCAAGAGTATCTTGGTGGGTGTGCACAGTTACAGCTCCTCGTGCGGCCGAAGAGCCTGACCGAAATCGGTGGCCTGACTGCCCACAAAGAGATCGTAGTGAGAAACAATCTCTGATTTAGAGAGTTTTCCGTCCTAAAATTTAAAAAAACGAAAACTAGTAAAGCAGGTGGGTTTATTTGATACTTCAAAAACCTGGGACAGGCTTAGTAAATGGTTTTCGTAAAGTTACTAAGGCCTCGCCGGTCTTTTCAGCTAACGTGTGTCAGTAACGGCGCAGAAAGCTGGGAGCTTTATCACAGTCACGGACAACCACTCCGGCGCTTTCACGCACCGGCAGATTATCGTGATTCCGCGGTACTTCTCTGTTATTCGAACCCCAAACACAATTGATTGGGTTCTTATCCCTGCAGCGGCTACTCCTATTCCCGCTCGCTGAATCCACTATCGAAAAGCATTATCGAG